GTAGCAGGGAAGGCACTATAGGGGTACAATTTAGGTGAAGGTTGGATGTTGTTTGTCTGTATCTGCATGCTACAAGGCCAGGGGAAACCAGCGGAACCAGCATTTGGCTGGTTGGGCAAAGACAAAACAGGTTCTGTTTTCAGAACCTGAACCTGGTTGTTGTTTTCCCAGGTTGGAAAAACAGAACCAGAGGTTGTTTACCAACCTACCACCTGCTATTTTGTCCAGCCAGGTTGGTTCTGTTGCTTGGAATTATTTGGGATCATCCCTGGTTGTTCCCAGGTTGATTCCCAAGGTCCTTGCTAGCTAGAACTATTTAATCCTTCTCTGTTTGTACCTGAATATAGTCAAATTGATTCAAGCGAATTCCTTCCTCGCTGGAATTTCGTTTCTGCGCTATTCGACGGCGGAATGCTACCCGAGTCAACGCTAGTATGCTAGCACTCCAACGCTAGGCAAACGCTGTCCGAGCCAGAACTTAGTAATGGCAGAACTTTTCGCGAGGCAACTTGGCTCATTTTAAAGCTCTTGGAGCGAGCTTCGATATAGCGAATTCTCAGCTTAATCCGACCGACGGTCTGCACGGCACGCTGCGCGACGTTCAAGGTACTCTTGCTGTTTTGACTAAGTCCTTCTTGATCCCTCTCTCTACAAACTCGGACCCGAGGATAGGGGCTGGTCTTGTACCAGGCACCCAGGGACCCTTGGAGGTGACCCCGAGGAGAGGTTTTAAGTCTTAATAGCTTGAGTTTATTAGGCCCTTACACCAACAAGCTGGTATCAGAGCTGCGTTATAGTGATCCTCGTTATAGGTAGCTATGGCGGGCAACACCTCGGCGGGAGCTGGTGAATCTTCAGCCCAAGATCGTAGCGGCAGCCAAGATTCTGGTCTTTCAGCGCCAAGGGGAGCGCGAACAAACCAGGGCTCGCTTGTCAAGGAGGTGCTGAAGAATTTCACCGTCGAGAAGTTCAATGGTGAGGGCTATGATGATTGGGCCTGGAAAATGCAATTATATTTCCGTCAGATCGGTTTGCTGAAACTAATGATTGGGGAGGAGCCTAGACCGAGTGACCCCACGCTGCAGGAAGATTGGGACGAGCGCTCCTCGGCTGGCTACTATTTGATGTCGCAGAGTTTGGAGCTGAACCAGCGTCACCACGTCATGCATCTGCTGCCGGAGGTTGAATGCGGCCCGAAGGCGTGGACCGTGTTGAAGGAGCTGCACGCCCCGACCTCCGTTGTCGCAACGTTGATGCTGGAGAGGGAGCTGTCCGCGTTGCGCCTGAGCGAGGGAGAGCCGGTGCAACCTGTCCTGGACAAGATGCGCGACCTGTACGCGAAGTTGGCGACCGCGGGAATCACCTACCCGGAGCAGACCAAGTGCTTGAAGATGCTCTCGCTGCTGCCTGAATCGTGGCTTCAATTCACGAGCGGATTGAGCCTGCCGCAGAACCAGAGCTTGTGGACGCTCGAGTGGGTGCGGACGAAGATTCTGGAGGAGGACTTCCGTCGCCGCCAACTGAGGGGTGGAGACGACGGCAGCAGCAGCTACGGGATGCAAGGGAGCCGACGTGGCAGAGGACGTGGCTTTGGTGGTGCTGGACGCGGTGCAAAGAAAGACGACGACTCCAACGACCAACAAGGAGGTACCGGTTGGGGTCGCGGTGCGAAATCTGGACGTGGGGGCAAGTCGGGTGCTGGTGGCAAAATGAAAGGGAGTTGCTGGTATTGTGAGAAGGAAGGGCACCCCTGGTTTTTGTGCTATAAGAAACCCGATGGATGGACCCCCCAGAATCGTCACCAGGATGGCGGCGCGCGGAGGAACCAGAAAAACGGCGCCAACATGGTCGCTGATTCGTCCGACAACAACCCGAAGGGCAACGGCGGTGCGGAGAAGAAGAAGGAGCGCACCGTGGGCCAATTCTTCCATGTGGGAGACAAGGGGGAGCAAGGAGACGCCTCTGCCAAAGTTGGAGCAGAGCTGCACCCCCTAGACTATTGGGTGTTGGACACAGGCGCTGCTTGGACGATGACGCCGCGCAAGGACCTGCTGGACGAAGTACGAGCTGCACCGATCAATGAAGTGTGCTCCGCCTCTGGACACATGTTGAAGGTGGCTGGTGCGGGACGAGCTGCGTTTAAGGGAGCGGATGGCAAGCCGGTGGTGCTGCACGACGTTCTCTTCGTCCCCGACCTGAAGGCCAACCTTATCTCCCTCCGTAAGCTTGGCAAGGCTGGGGTGAACACCAACACGGATGGGGCACGCACTTATAAGGGGAAGCTGGGCAATCGGGTGCTTTGGGATCTGCACGAGAGCAAGGACGTGTACAGATCTATGTGGCAGCTGCCGGCCCTGGCGTGGCATGGTGGGGGGCAGGCTGGAGAGGGGTCTGCATCCCAGGGGGAGTGCAATGCCGTTGGAGGGGTTGGTGTGAAAGTGTCGGCCAGATCTGGGAAGACAGATTGGGCAACGGCACACCGGCGCTTAGGGCATGTGGCAATGCCTTTGCTGAAGCAGCTGGAGAAGGATGGAGCCGTTAAGGGTCTGAAGCTGAACGGACAGCCACCCGATGACAACTGTGAAATCTGTTTGCTTTCAAAGTTCACCCGTTTCCCTTTCCATAGTGTGGCTGGCAGGAGCAAGAAGCCTTTGGAGCTGGTCCACATGGACTTGGTGGGGCCGCTGCCGGTGCAAGGACACAAGGGGGAGCGGTATTTTCTTACAATTGTGGATGACTGGAGCAGGCTGATGTGGGCGTATCCACTGAAGCAGAAGGACCACGCCGCCTCCACGATACGGGACGATTGGCTGCCATTCGTGGAGAAGCAGGCGGAGTGTGTAGTGAAGCGGATTAGGACAGACCGGGGTGGTGAGTTCCTTGGAGCTGAAATGACGGCCTGGCTCAAGAAGCAGGGCATCCAGAGAGAGCTGACCACGGCTTATACCCCACAGTCAAATGGTGTAGCAGAACGGGCAAACCGGACCATTCTGGAGACAGCTAGGGCGCTGCTCATAGAATCTGGGCTGAGCAACTCTATGTGGCCTCATGCTGTCCGGCATGCCACCGTCGCTAGGAACAGGGTGCTCACCAAGGTTGGGGATGACTCGTGGGTGCCGTTGGAGAGGTGGCTTGGGAGGAAGCCGCCGGTGGACATGCTGAGGGTGTTCGGTTGCATGGCAGTCGCCCACGTCCCCAAGACCTACCGCAGTAAGTTGGGGGCGAGTGCAATCTGGTGTGTGCATTTGGGGCTGGCTGCTGAAAGCAAGGGATGGCTGCTGTGGGAACCATCCAAGGGTGTCCCAGCAGATGGAGCAGATCACCATGCAGCTGGACCTGACTCCTAGTGTGTGGGAGGAGGGAGAGAAGGCAGCTGCGGGAAATGGTGATGGAGAGAAGGTACAGGAGGCATCTGCTGGTGGAGAAAATGGTGTGGAAACTGGCGGCAGCACTAGTGGAGCTGCTGGACCCGAGGGAGGAGAGAAGCAGCAGGAAAAACTAGAAGCCGAAGGGTGTCGTTATGAAGGGATGGGAGACACCCGTCTCCAGGCCAGGACGTACCCGTATGGCTACTAAGAAGCTGACTGCAGGAACTGATGCCGCGAGCAGCAGCTAGGGACCGAAGAGGCATTGCTGATTCTGTTGGGTGCAAATGCACATTGCACGACATCCTGCCGTCTGTTTGTACGAGTATGCGTGTGCGAATGCATTTGCGTGTGAATGGTGTGTTCGTGTGTTTGTTTTCTTTCGCATTTTTCGCTTGATGCATTTGCAGGTACTCGCGCAATGTGCGCTTCGGCACAACATTGTATGCGCTATGAACAGTGCAAGCAGAAAGGACGAGCTCGCAAAGGAACCCAAGATGGAAGCTTTGCAGTTCGGTTGAGTTGATTGCGCAGATTCAGTTCTATCCAACTCGAAATTGTACTGTTTTGTTAACTATAGTGTAGCAGGGAAGGCACTATAGGGGTACAATTTAGGTGAAGGTTGGATGTTGTTTGTCTGTATCTGCATGCTACAAGGCCAGGGGAAACCAGCGGAACCAGCATTTGGCTGGTTGGGCAAAGACAAAACAGGTTCTGTTTTTAGAACCTGAACCTGGTTGTTTTTTTCCCAGGTTGGAAAAACAGAACCAGGGTTGTTTACCAACCTACCACCTGCTATTTTGTCCAGCCAGGTTGGTTCTGTTGCTTGGAATTATTTGGGATCATCCTTGGTTGTTCCCAGGTTGATTCCCAAGGTCCTTGCTAGCTAGAACTATTTAATCCTTCTCTGTTTGTACCTGAATATAGTCAAATTGATTCAAGCGAATTCCTTCCTCGCTGGAATTTCGTTCTTCTGCGCTATTCGACGGCGGAATGCTACCCGAGTCAACGCTAGTATGCTAGCACTCCAACGCTAGGCAAACGCTGTCCGAGCCATAACTTAGTAATGGCAGAACTTTTCGCGAGGCAACTTGGCTCATTTTAAAGCTCTTGGAGCGAGCTTCGATATAGCGAATTCTCAGCTTAATCCGACTGACGGTCTGCACGGCACGCTGCGCGACGTTCAAGGTACTCTTGCTGTTTTGACTAAGTCCTTCTTGATCCCTCTCTCTACAAACTCGGACCCGAGGATAGGGGCTGGTCTTGTACCAGGCACCCAGGGACCCTTGGAGGTGACCCCGAGGAGAGGTTTTAAGTTTGATTAAGTCCTAATAGCTTGAGTTTATTAGGCCCTTACACCAACAAGCTGGTATCAGAGCTGCGTTATAGTGATCCTCGTTATAGGTAGCTATGGCGGGCAACACCTCGGCGGGAGCTGGTGAATCTTCAGCCCAAGATCGTAGCGGCAGCCAAGATTCTGGTCTTTCAGCGCCACGGGGAGCGCGAACAAACCAGGGCTCGCTTGTCAAGGAGGTGCTGAAGAATTTCACCGTCGAGAAGTTCAATGGTGAGGGCTATGATGATTGGGCCTGAAAAATGCAATTATATTTCCGTCAGATCGGTTTGCTGAAACTAATGATTGGGGAGGAGCCTAGACCGAGTGACCCCACGCTGCAGGAAGATTGGGACGAGCGCTCTTCGGCTGGCTACTATTTGATGTCGCAGAGTTTGGAGCTGAACCAGCGTCACCACGTCATGCACCTGCTGCAGGAGGTTGAGTGCGGTCCGAAGGCGTGGACCGTGTTGAAGGAGCTGCACGCCCCGACCTCCGTTGTCGCAACGTTGATGCTGGAGAGGGAGCTGTCCGCGTTGCGCCTGAGCGAGGGAGAGCCGGTGCAACCAGTCCTGGACAAGATGCGCGACCTCTACGCGAAGTTGGCGACCGCGGGAATCACCTACCTGGAGCAGACCAAGTGCTTGAAGATGCTCTCGCTGCTGCCAGAATCGTGGCTTCAATTTACGAGCGGATTGAGCCTGCCGCAGAACCAGAGCTTGTGGACGCTCGAGTGGGTGCGGACGAAGATTCTGGAGGAGGACTTCCGTCGCCGCCAACTGAGGGGTGGAGACGACGGCAGCAGCGGCTACGGGATGCAAGGGAGCCGACGTGGCAGAGGACGTGGCTTCGGTGGTGCTGGACGCGGTGCAAAGAAAGACGACGACTCCAACGACCAACAAGGAGGTACCGGTTGGGGTCGCGGTGCGAAATCTGGACGTGGGGGCAAGTCGGGTGCTGGTGGCAAAATGAAAGGGAGTTGCTGGTATTGTGAGAAGGAAGGGCACCCTTGGTTTTTGTGCTATAAGAAACCCGATGGATGGACCCCCAGAATCGTCACCAGGATGGCCGGCGGCGGAGGAAACCAGAAAAACGGCGCCAACATGGTCGCTGATTCGTCCGACAACAACCCGAAGGGCAACGGCGGTGCGGAGAAGAAGAAGGAGCGCACCGCGGGCCATTCTTCATGTGGGAGACAAGGGGAGCAAGGAGACGCCTCTGCCAAAGTTGGAGCAGAGCTGCACCCCCTAGACTATTGGGTGTTGGACACAGGCGCTGCTTGGACGATGACGCCGCGCAAGGACCTGCTGGACGAAGTACGAGCTGCACCGATCAATGAAGTGTGCTCCGCCTCTGGACACATGTTGAAGGTGGCTGGTGCGGGACGAGCTGCGTTTAAGGGAGCGGATGGCAAGCCGGTGGTGCTGCACGACGTTCTCTTCGTCCCCGACCTGAAGGCCAACCTTATCTCCCTCCGTAAGCTTGGCAAGGCTGGGGTGAACACCAACACGGATGGGGCACGCACTTATAAGGGGAAGCTGGGCAATCGGGTGCTTTGGGATCTGCACGAGAGCAAGGACGTGTACAGATCTATGTGGCAGCTGCCGGCCCTGGCGTGGCATGGTGGGGGGCAGGCTGGAGAGGGGTCTGCATCCCAGGGGGAGTGCAATGCCGTTGGAGGGGTTGGTGTGAAAGTGTCGGCCAGATCTGGGGAGACAGATTGGGCAACGGCACACCGGCGCTTAGGGCATGTGGCAATGCCTTTGCTGAAGCAGCTGGAGAAGGATGGAGCCGTTAAGGGTCTGAAGCTGAACGGACAGCCACCCGATGACAACTGTGAAATCTGTTTGCTTTCAAAGTTCACCCGTTTCCCTTTCCATAGTGTGGCTGGCAGGAGCAAGAAGCCTTTGGAGCTGGTCCACATGGACTTGGTGGGGCCGCTGCCGGTGCAAGGGCACAAGGGGGAGCGGTATTTCTTACAATTGTGGATGACTGGAGCAGGCTGATGTGGGCGTATCCGCTGAAGCAGAAGGACCACGCCGCCTCCACGATACGGGACGATTGGCTGCCATTCGTGGAGAAGCAGGCGGAGTGTGTAGTAAAGCGGATTAGGACAGACCGGGGTGGTGAGTTCCTTGGAGCTGAAATGACGGCCTGGCTCAAGAAGCAGGGCATCCAGAGAGAGCTGACCACGGCTTATACCCCACAGTCCAATGGTGTAGCAGAACGGGCAAACCGGACCATTCTGGAGACAGCTAGGGCGCTGCTCATAGAATCTGGGCTGAGCAATTCTATGTGGCCTCATGCTGTCCGGCACGCCACTGTCGCTAGGAACAGGGTGCTCACCAAGGTTGGGGATGACTCGTGGGTGCCGTTGGAGAGGTGGCTTGGGAGGAAGCCGCCGGTGGACATGCTGAGGGTGTTCGGTTGCATGGCAGTCGCCCACGTCCCTAAGACCTACCGCAGTAAGTTGGGGGCGAGTGCAATCTGGTGTGTGCATTTGGGGCTGGCTGCTGAGAGCAAGGGATGGCTGCTGTGGGAACCATCCAAGGGTGTGTTGTTTGACAGCAGGGATGTGAAATTCATTGAGGGCATGATGTATGGGAGCTGGGAGAAACAGCCGGAGGCAAGGGTGTCCCAGCAGATGGAGCAGATCACCATGCAGCTGGACCTGACTCCTAGTGTGTGGGAGGAGGGAGAGGAGGCAGCTGCTGGAAATGGTGATGGAGAGAAGGTACAGGAGGCATCTGCTGGTGGAGAAAATGGTGTGGAAACTGGCGGCAGCACTAGTGGAGCTGCTGGACCCGAGGGAGGAGAGAAGCAGCAGGGAAAAACTAAGAAGCCGAAGGGTGTCGTTATGAAGGGATGGGAGACACCCGTCTCCAGGCCAGGACGTACCCGTATGGCTACTAAGAAGCTGACTGCAGGAACTGATGCAGCAGAGCAGCAGCTAGGGACCGAAGAGGCATTGCTGATTCTACCTCATGGCTATGACCCGGATGAGGAGGATGAGCCTGCGTACTGTTTTCTTGCCCCTGCACCAGAGGAACCAGCTAGCATGGAGGAGGCATTAGCTGGACCAGATAGGGACAAGTGGCTGGCTTCTAGGGATGCTGAGTACCAGAGTCTGCTGGAGAATAGGACATGGGATCTGGTGGTGCTGCCTGATGGAAAGAAAGCGATACAATGCAAGTGGGTGCTGAGGATCAAGACCGATGACAAGGGGCAGGTCACCATCTACAAGAGTAGGCTGGTGGCGAAGGGGTTTATGCAGAAGGAGAAGCAGGACTTCAACGAGATCTTTGCTCCCACTGCCAAACCCCCTACCCTCCGTGTCTTGTTGGCAGATGCAGCTGTTAGTGGGAAATTCATCATTCAGATGGATATTTCAACGGCATTCCTGAATGGGATTTTAGAGGAGGATGTGTACATGACGCAGCCGCCTGGATATGAGGATGGTACGGGCAGGGTGTGCAAGCTCAACAAGTCCATCTACGGCTTGAAGCAGGCGCCACGCTGCTGGTACCAGAAGTTGGCAGCTGTTTTAGAGGAGATGGGATTCAGGACCAGCAGCTGTGATGAGAGCCTCTTTCTCAAGGGCGAGGGGGAGAAGCTGGTGCTGTTTCTGGTCTATGTGGACGACATTCTTCTCTTCAGCAGCAGCATGAAGGAGATCCAGAAAGTGCAGCAGCAACTGATGGAAAACTTCAAGTGCAAGAACCTTGGGGAGGTAAAGTACTACCTCGGGATGCACGTGGAGAGGGATCCAGATCACAGGTGGTTGAAGCTGCACCAGGAGAAGTTCATCAAGGAGCTGGGGGAGAAGTATGGGATTGAGAATGAGCGCAAGGTTGCAACTCCCCTGCCAGCAGAATTCAAGCTTGTGAAGGCTGCAGAGGATGAAGGGGTTGAAGCTGAAGAGCAGCAGCAATTTCAGTCCTTGGTGGGCAGCCTCTTGTACGCAGCAGTTCACACGAGGCCCGACATCTCTTTCTCGGTTGGGCAGCTGGCTAGGGTGGTGCAGAATCCATCAGAGGAGCAGGTGGATGCAGCTGAGCGTGTGGTCAAGTACCTGAACTCTCACCCAAGCATTGGAGTTCAATACTCCGCATCTGCACAGGTGAAGCAGAAAGGGGTGGAGGTGCTGAAAGAGAAGGGGGAGAGGCTTGGAGAAGGCAAGCTATTTCTCACTTGCTTTACCGATGCTACATGGGCTTCTGAGAAGGAGGATTCCTCATCTGTGGGAGGATACATCTGCGTAGTTGGGGGAGGACCTGTTAGTTGGAGGTCCAAGAAGCAGACGGAGACGGCACTCTCTTCCGTAGAATCAGAGTACATGGCGATGTTCCATGGGGTGAAGGAGGTGATTTGGCTGAGGAGGCTGTTAGAGGAGATTGGCCAGGAGCAGAAAGTTGCTACGCCGCTGTTTTGTGATAGCAAGGGGGCTCTTGGGATGGCCAGGAACGCTGTGCTTCATGGGCCTGTACAAGCACATGCGTATCAAGTGGCACTGGCTGTGTAAGGAGGTGAAGAGGGGGACGGTGCATCCGATCTACATCAAGACTCACCAGCAGCCAGCAGACTTTCTCACCAAGAGGCTTGCGGATGAGCCTCATTGGCGTTGTGTGCGCATGAGTGGAATGAGCATGAACTAGCATGGAATGATGGGGATGCAGCCGGCAGGTAAGGGGGGAGGTTGTGTGGTGCAAATTTACATTGCAAGCAAACAAACACACGAACACACCATTCACACACAAATGCATTCGCACACGCATACTCGTACAAAACAGACGGCAGGATGTCGTGCAATGTGCATTTGCACCCAACACTCCCCCTCAGCCTGCCGGCTGCATCCCCGTCATTCCATGCTAGTTCATGCTCATTCCACTCATGCGCACACAACGCCAATGAGACTCATCCGCAAGCCTCTTGGTGAGAAAGTCTGCTGGCTGCTGGTGAGTCTTGATGTAGATCGGATGCACCGTCCCCCTCTTCACCTCCTTACGCAGCCAGTGCCACTTGATACGCATGTGCTTGTTCAGCCCATGAAGCACAGCGTTCCTGGCCATCCCAAGAGCCCCCTTGCTATCACAAAACAGCGGCGTAGCAACTTTCTGCTCCTGGCCAATCTCCTCTAACAGCCTCCTCAGCCAAATCACCTCCTTCACCCATGGAACATCGCCATGTACTCTGATTCTACGGAAGAGAGTGCCGTCTTCGTCTGCTTCTTGGACCTCCAACTAACAGGTCCTCCCCCAACTACGCAGATGTATCCTCCCACAGATGAGGAATCCTCCTTCTCAGAAGCCCATGTAGCATCGGTAAAGCAAGTGAGAAATAGCTTGCCTTCTCCAAGCCTCTCCCCCTTCTCTTTCAGCACCTCCACCCCTTTCTGCTTCACCTGTGCAGATGCGGAGTATTGAACTCCAATGCTTGGGTGAGAGTTCAGGTACTTGACCACACGCTCAGCTGCATCCACCTGCTCCTCTGATGGATTCTGCACCACCCTAGCCAGCTGCCCAACCGAGAAAGAGATGTCGGGCCTCGTGTGAACTGCTGCGTACAAGAGGCTGCCCACCAAGGACTGAAATTGCTGCTGCTCTTCAGCTTCAACCCCTTCATCCTCTGCAGCCTTCACAAGCTTGAATTCTGCTGGCAGGGGAGTTGCAACCTTGCGCTCATTCTCAATCCCATACTTCTCCCCCAGCTCCTTGATGAACTTCTCCTGGTGCAGCTTCAACCACCTGTGATCTGGATCCCTCTCCACGTGCATCCCGAGGTAGTACTTTACCTCCCCAAGGTTCTTGCACTTGAAGTTTTTCATCAGTTGCTGCTGCACTTTCTGGATCTCCTTCATGCTGCTGCTGAAGAGAAGAATGTCGTCCACATAGACCAGAAACAGCACCAGCTTCTCCCCCTCGCCCTTGAGAAAGAGGCTCTCATCACAGCTGCTGGTCCTGAATCCCATCTCCTCTAAAACAGCTGCCAATTTCTGGTACCAGCAGCGTGGCGCCTGCTTCAAGCCGTAGATGGACTTGTTGAGCTTGCACACCCTGCCCGTACCATCCTCATACCCAGGCGGCTGCGTCATGTACACATCCTCCTCTAAAATCCCATTCAGGAATGCCGTTGAAATATCCATCTGAATGATGAATTTCCCACTAACAGCTGCATCTGCCAACAAGACACGGAAGGTAGGGGGTTTGGCAGTGGGAGCAAAGATCTCGTTGAAGTCCTGCTTCTCCTTCTGCATAAACCCTTTAGCCACCAGCCTACTCTTGTAGATGGTGACCTGCCCCTTGTCATCGGTCTTGATCCTCAGCACCCACTTGCATTGTATCGCTTTCTTCCCATCAGGCAGCACCACCAGATCCCATGTCCTATTCTCCAGCAGACTCTGGTACTCAGCATCCCTAGAAGCCAACCACTTGTCCCTATCTGGTCCAGCTAATGCCTCCTCCATGCTAGCTGGTTCCTCTGGTGCAAGGGCAAGAAAAAGAAACCAGTACGCAGGCATCCTCCTCATCCGGGTCATAGCCATGAGGTAGAATCAGCAATGCCTCTTCGGTCCCTAGCTGCTGCTCTGCTGCATCAGTTCCTGCAGTCAGCTTCTTAGTAGCCATACGGGTACGTCCTGGCCTGGAGACGGGTGTCTCCCATCCCTTCATAACGACACCCTTCGGCTTCTTAGTTTTTCCCTGCTGCTTCTCTCCTCCCTCGGGTCCAGCAGCTCCACTAGTGCTGCCGCCAGTTTCCACACCATTTTCTCCACCAGCAGATGCCTCCTGTACCTTCTCTCCATCACCATTTCCAGCAGCTGCCTCCTCTCCCTCCTCCCACACACTAGGAGTCAGGTCCAGCTGCATGGTGATCTGCTCCATCTGCTGGGACACCCTTGCCTCCGGCTGTTTCTCCCAGCTCCCATACATCATGCCCTCAATGAATTTCACATCCCTGCTGTCAAACAACACACCCTTGGATGGTTCCCACAGCAGCCATCCCTTGCTCTTAGCAGCCAGCCCCAAATGCACACACCAGATTGCACTCGCCCCCAACTTACTGCGGTAGGTCTTGGGGACGTGGGCGATTGCCATGCAACCGAACACCCTCAGCATGTCCACCGGCGGCTTCCTCCCAAGCCACCTCTCCAAAGGCACCCACGAGTCATCCCCAACCTTGGTGAGCACCCTGTTCCTAGCGACAGTGGCGTGCCGGACAGCATGAGGCCACATAGAATTGCTCAGCCCTGATTCTATGAGCAGCGCCCTAGCTGTCTCCAGAATGGTCCGGTTTGCCCGTTCTGCTACACCATTGGACTGGGGTTATAAGCCGTGGTCAGCTCTCTCTGGATGCCCTGCTTCTTGAGCCAGGCCGTCATTTCAGCTCCAAGGAACTCACCACCCCGGTCTGTCCTAATCCGCTTCACTACACACTCCGCCTGCTTCTCCACGAATGGCAGCCAATCGTCCTGTATCGTGGAGGCGGCGTGGTCCTTCTGCTTCAGCGGATACGCCCACATCAGCCTGCTCCAGTCATCCACAATTGTAAGAAAATACCGCTCCCCCTTGTGCCCTTGCACCGGCAGCGGCCCCACCAAGTCCATGTGGACCAGCTCCAAAGGCTTCTTGCTCCTGCCAGCCACACTATGGAAAGGGAAACGGGTGAACTTTGAAAGCAAACAGATTTCACAGTTGTCATCGGGTGGCTGTCCGTTCAGCTTCAGACCCTTAACGGCTCCATCCTTCTCCAGCTGCTTCAGCAAAGGCATTGCCACATGCCCTAAGCGCCGGTGTGCCGTTGCCCAATCTGTCTCCCCAGATCTGGCCGACACTTTCACACCAACCCTTCCAACGGCATTGCACTCCCCCTGGGATGCAGACCCCTCTCCAGCCTGCCCCCCACCATGCCACGCCAGGGCCGGCAGCTGCCACATAGATCTGTACACGTCCTTGCTCTCGTGCAGATCCCAAAGCAACCGATTGCCCAGCTTCCCCTTATAAGTGCGTGCCCCATCCGTGTTGGTGTTCACCCCAGCCTTGCCAAGCTTACGGAGGGAGATAAGGTTGGCCTTCAGGTCGGGGACGAAGAGAACGTCGTGCAGCACCACCGGCTTGCCATCCGCTCCCTTAAACGCAGCTCGTCCCGCACCAGCCACCTTCAACATGTGTCCAGAGGCGGAGCACACTTCATTGATCGGTGCAGCTCGTACTTCGTCCAGCAGGTCCTTGCGCGGCGTCATCGTCCAAGCAGCGCTGTGTCCAACACCCAATAGTCTAGGGGGTGCAGCTCTGCTCCAACTTTGGCAGAGGCGTCTCCTTGCTCCCCCTTGTCTCCTACATGGAAGAATTGGCCCGCGGTGCGCTCCTTCTTCTTCTCCGCACCGCTGTGTTGCCTTCGGGTTGTTGTCGGACGAATCAGCGACCATGTTGGCGCCGTTTTTCTGGTTCCTCCGCGCGCCGCCATCCTGGTGACGATTCTGGGGGGTCCATCCATCGGGTTTCTTATAGCACAAAAACCAGGGGTGCCCTTCCTTCTCACAATACCAGCAACTCCCTTTCATTTTGCCACCAGCACCCGACTTGCCCCCACGTCCAGATTTCGCACCGCGACCCCAACCGGTACCTCCTTGTTGGTCGTTGGAGTCGTCGTCTTTCCTTGCACCGCGTCCAGCACCACCGAAGCCACGTCCTCTGCCACGTCGGCTCCCTTGCATCCCGTAGCCGCTGCTGCCGTCGTCTCCACCCCTCAGTTGGCGGCGACGGAAGTCCTCCTCTAGAATCTTCGTCCGCACCCACTCGAGCGTCCACAAGCTCTGGTTCTGCGGCAGGCTCAATCCGCTCGTAAATTGAAGCCACGATTCCGGCAGCAGCGAGAGCATCTTCAAGCACTTGGTCTGCTCCGGGTAGGTGATTCCCGCGGTCGCCAACTTCGCGTAGAGGTCGCGCATCTTGTCCAGGACTGGTTGCACCGGCTCTCCCTCGCTCAGGCGCAACGCGGACAGCTCCCTCTCCAGCATCAACGTTGCGACAACGGAGGTCGGGGCGTGCAGCTCCTTCAACACGGTCCACGCCTTCGGACCGCATTCAACCTCCGGCAGCAGGTGCATGACGTGGTGACGCTGGTTCAGCTCCAAACTCTGCGACATCAAATAGTAGCCAGCCGAGGAGCGCTCGTCCCAATCTTCCTGCAGCGTGGGGTCACTCGGTCTAGGCTCCTCCCCAATCATTAGTTTCAGCAAACCGATCTGACGGAAATATAATTGCATTTTCCAGGCCCAATCATCATAGCCCTCACCATTGAACTTCTCGACGGTGAAATTCTTCAGCACCTCCTTGACAAGCGAGCCCTGGTTTGTTCGCGCTCCCCTTGGCGCTGAAAGACCAGAATCTTGGCTGCCGCTACGATCTTGGGCTGAAGATTCACCAGCTCCCGCCGAGGTGTTGCCCGCCATAGCTACCTATAACGAGGATCACTATAACGCAGCTCTGATACCAGCTTGTTGGTGTAAGGGTCTAATAAACT